TCAATCATATGAAATAAGATTTTTTTAAAGCAATATTTTTTAACATAAGATTTATTCCATAGCAAAGTAAATATTTTGGAGGTAATGAAAAATACTTAAAGTTACATTACATTCTTCTCATTAGATATAATATTTTATTTATAATTTTGAAACATATAATAAAAATTGAAAATTTTAATTATAATTTTTTTTATTATATATCTTTGTTAGAAAAAAATAAAGATTTAATTATATATTTTTACAAAGTACATAGAGCATTTAATTTTATTTCGAAGATAAATATTGTAATATATATGATCTTAAAATAAAAATACTAAATAATAATAATATTTTAACTATGAAGATTATAATAAAAAGTTTTGAAACGAATGGCATGATCTAAAATAAATTGAAAAATATTGCTTTAAAATAAAGTATTTTTAAAAATACTTTAAAAAAATAAAAAATATAAGTCATATTAATAAATAAAAAATATAAATCATATATATTAACTATTAAAGAGCAAATTAATGAGGAAATTTATAAAAATATATGGATAAGACAACTTTGGACGGAAATATGGATACTAAGAATTCAAACGATTAAAAACGAATATTAAATTAGTAAAAAAATATGGAAAAAATATTCATTTGCATGGCAAAGATCATATTCAAACTTATTATGTTTTAAATTCTATCGATTCAAAAAAATTTATTTAAAGATGGACTGCGTCGAATATAAATTTTAACGAAGTCTGCATGAAATGATAACCATCATTTAAAAAAAAAAAACCGCTATTCACAATCAAAGCTCGAAATCTATTGTTTAATGATGGATGTACAATTTTTATAACAAAAAAATTATATATATTTATTAGAATCTATGACATTAGATCTATCTATTATAAATTGGAGTCGTATATTCATATATTTATATATATATTCATATATATTCGATTATTTATATATTCTGTATTTATATATTCTATAAGATTTCACGAGAAAATTATATGCAAAAAAAAAGGAAGAAACGATTAATTATTGATTAATTATTGATTAATTATTGATTAAATGAAAATAAGAAAATTCAGAATTCTTTCATCGATTAGTAGCAGATATGATAAAATTCTTTTAAAGAAAAATTTATTTAAAAAAATTATTAAACTTATAGAAAAGAAAAAATACAAAGAATAAGATGAAAAAATGGTCTTGATGATTAAGATAAAATATAAGACATTAAAAAATATCAATCATTTAAAGTAAGAAGAGATATTCTCAAGATTTTTGCGTTATAATAATTGTGAAATTGTTGTTATAAGAATAAGTTTTAAAAGAAGATAAAAACCTATGGAGATGATATGACTACATATTTATATGAAATTAATTATAACGAAGACATTCGATAATGGATTGAAGAAAAAAAAGAAATTATGATTTGGTAAAGAAATGATGATAAAAAAAAAAAAAGAAAAATATTTCAAGTCATATAATTTATAAAAACTGAAATCTGATAAATCGTGAGAATCGATTTAACATCATCAGAGATAATAAAAATAATAATATAAATAAAATTTTTTTGAAATGTATGCATTATTGCAAAGGATTCAAAATATGAGACAAATTTTATACAGTCAAAGACAAAAATTTTATAAATTATATTTTCTATAAGATAATAAATATCCTGAAAAAAATTTGGAATTGAACGCATTTAAAAAAATAATACATTGAATTAAAAATAGATTAAACAGATATAAAAATTGTAAAAGAAAGAGTTTTATAAAAAAAAAAGTACAAATCATATTTCTAAGAAATAGAAGACAAAAATTAAATTTTTTTTCTTGGGAAAATAAGAGAAAGAAGAAAAAGAAAACAAAGAAAAACGTATCTTTCTATATCTATCAGCAAAAACTTTTTGTGTTTTTTACAAAGAATCATTGAGTAAAATTAAATAGAAGATCTATAATTATTAATATTATATATATATTTATTATTTTATTATGGGAAAAACTTCAAGTCTAAATTACATAATTAAAATAAATTTCTATCGAATTATATAGACTAATTGAAAATTATGTAATCTAATAAATCATCTATTATTAAATTGTGTATATTACAAAATTTGATAACTTCTTTTCGTAGAATTTGATATATTGGTACATGTATATATATATATATATATTAAAATCCTATATTTTTATTTGATCACAAAGTTCTTAGATGATCAAATGATTGAAATCTTAAATTGTTAATGAAAAATGTATCTTTACAGCAGAAAAAACTTATGGAGATTAGATTTTTCATAACGAAAAAATTATCTAAATTGAAGATGAAGATAATAACAAATAAAATCTTTTTCAAAATAGATTTTAATAATTTAAAAAAATTGAAGTTCAGATATTGAAAAGAAATCTGTAAAAAAAACTAATGAATTAATAACAGCATCTTCAAAAATATCTTATATAAAATCCAAAAAATGTAGAATATCTATTATCTTATATGGTTATTTAAACTGATATGTTTGAAATGAATGAAAATTATATAAATCTAGAAGATTGAATATAAAATAATGGATTTTATAAATAAGAGATTCCAATAGTAGTAATATATCGAATTTAAAAAAATATTATGTATATTTGATAAAGTCTATCTACTTAAGGCCCAAAATAAATTATACTTTGAGAAGAGAAAAATAATACATATTAGAATATGTTTTATTACTTATTGACTTATTGTCAATTTTTTTACTCATTTGCGAGAGCTATGAGTGAAATAAGAATTTAAAACAGAAGAATTTAAAGAAAAATTTAAGAATTTAAATTCGAATAGTTGAAAAATAACGAAATAAAATGGATTTTTTTATCGAAAAATCATGATTCTAGAATCTAAAACTTTTATGAAAGTATGTTAAATGTATATCACTGTGAATTATTGTACAATGAGACATTTTATGAATCATTGTGTTAATAAAAATAGAAAAATCTTTGGATTACTATTGAAGTTGCGATTACTATTGAAGTTTGCTAAGTGATATTGAACATTTTTTTAATTGTTCTGATATATTTTTTGAATTGTTCTATAATAAATAATACGCAATAAATGCAAAGCGAGGAAATTTTGAAAAGATGATATTGAACATTTTTTTAATTGTTCTGATACATTTTTTGAATTGTTCTGTAATAAATAATATATGCAATAAGTGCAAAGCGAGAAAATCTTGAAAAGATGATATTGAACATTTTTTGAATTGTTCTGATATATTTTTTGAATTGTTCTGTAATAAATAATATGCAATAAATGCAAAGCGAGAAAATCTTGAAAAGAAAGATGGTAATCGATTTAATATCAAAAATTTTATAGAAAAGATTCATCAAAAATGAAGATAGCTTTCAATAATTTTTTTTCAATAATTTCAAAACTTTAATGAAAAAACATAAAAAAAAAAGAATTGTTAGAAATAAGAAATAATTTATAATATATCTTAATTGAACTTAGATATTATGTGATATAAATAACACTATTATATACATATATGTTATAAAATTAGTATATAAAAATATCGATTGATAATAACAGAATTTAGCAATCAGCCTAATAGCAAAAGATGATTTCTTTCTTTTTTCATACAATTTTATAATGCATAAAAGATGATCTCAAGATTTAGATGAATAAATTTTCATAAAATAAATAAATATAAAAAAAAAAGACGGAAAAATAAAGCAGAAAATTTTATTTTATATTTTAATTATTTTTTTTACCGAATTTGTATTAATTAAAATATATTAAAATACAATTATTATATATTTTTATTGAAAATTATTTTTTACAAATTTTTAATAATTTTTAAAAATTTTTTATTTAATCAAATAATTTTAATCAAAATATATTTTTATCAGAAGAATTTTATCTGAACAATTGTGATTATAAACATACACTAATATATTGTATCTCTCTATGCTATTTTCTGTATATAAGTTATATTTTGTAATATTAGACAAAGTATTTATAATAAGATTATAAAATCAATCGAGTAAAAAATTAAAAATATTTTATTCAATGTAATTATATGCATTATAGTATTATTTATATATTATATATTTGCAGATGAATATCTATATCTGTTTTCTTATATATTCTTTAATTATTTTAAACCAAATAAAAAGAACAACAAAATTAGTGTAAAAATAAATATTTATATGTATCATTTAGAGAACATAATTTAATTATTAAATTATATAACTTATTAAGATAACTCAATGTTTATGATTCACAGCCTAATCTAATTCTAATGATTTTTTAATAAAAAATAGTTTTAAATAAAACATGTTTATATAAATGATGAATGATAAAAGAAGTTGAAAATTATCATATTGTTATCAAACATTCGTTCATATCTAATTAAACTTTTACTATGTTATATTTTATTATGTATAAAATATATTTATGATCTAGAAAGGAAAGGAGTAATTTAAAAGTTGGAGAACGGCATCTAAAACCAGCAGAGATTTGCGATCTTTTAAAGGGAATTGTGGTGATCAGCTGTTGGGCAGCTACATGGAAGGTTGACACCTCTATGATGTACCATTTGGTGAAAAGTCAATCAGTAATAAAATTGTATATATTTTATAATATGCTGGAAGTCGGTGATAGATTATTCAGCGCTTTTGGCCAAGATACGATAGATGCCCTTCTATGGACAGCTACGGAGCCTAGATCAAAAACACAAACACAAACATCTCAACATTTGGGCACTCTACCTCATCTATTGTTTGCTGTTGCTTATGTTTGTATCCTTTCTATTCATAAATATTGGATATAGAGAAGATAATTTTGTGTTCTTATTTCGAATTATATTTCGAAAAGTCTTTAGACAAATGAGCAATGAGCATTGGCTCATTTTTATCATATTTCTGTATAAAATATAAATAAGTATTGTTTCAATATTTGGCAATTATTTATTGAGAAAATCGAATGTCCAAATGATTTAAGAATACTTTAAGAATATTAATATACTTTCTTCGTTAAATATTGATATCATTAAGCTAAATAATTGAGAACAACATTGGATAAATTCATAAATGATAAATGCTCAGTAATTATCTCTAGCATTAAGAGATTCTTCTTGTCGCTGTAAAATTCATAAATTGCGAATATATATGTTAATTTAAATTTTTATTAAAAACTCAACAATTTAAATAAAGAATTTATTTTAATTTGTATTATAATATTTATTATTTTTTTATATTAAATATTATTTATTATTTAGTAAATATTAAATATTATAATGAATATTGATATTTTTTTTTATATACCATATAAATTCAAATTTTTTATGAATTAAATATATACAGTTCATTTATCAATATATTTATATATATTTTCATTATTATTATTTTTAGCTTTATTAAAAAGAAATCCGAATTTTGATTTAGCCATTAGAATTAAATTTTAATTTTACTATTTATAATAATAAATAGTATAATAATAAGATAGAATGATTTGTTTAGTACTTATTCGATGCTTATTATATTCAGTGTTTTAATTTAATTTTTATAAATTTTTACAAATTTTGCTTGCATTCATCGTGAAAAAATTGTTTTAGTATATTGTCGATGGAAGCTATGTAATGAAATTGTAAAATTAGTTAAAATTTACATGTTTGAACACTAAAATATAAATTGAAATATTTCAAGAAAAATAAGAATTAATAAAAATGAATTTTGTTCATTCATTCATCAAGATCGAATGATATCAATTTAAAACAGTTATTTCTTTCAAAAATATATTTTAAGAAATTATAAATGTCATAATATTCGGGAAATAAGTTCTAAATACAAAATTTCACATAATAATGTTAATATATAATATTAATAATGATGTTAATAATAATATAACATAATAATTTAAATAGAAATAATATATTTATATAGAAAAATGTAAATAATTAGTATTAGTATTGAATAGTTGCAAATGATTTTTTGTTGTTTCTTTCAATCTTTCTCATGTGAAAGTAAAGCCAATGAATAAATAAAATTTCAATAAATCTAATTTTGCAAATTCTTATTGGCTGTTGTGCATTTTTTTCAATTCGTAAGCAAAATGTTTGAAAATCATATGTATTTTGGGTGTTTTATTTTTATTATTTTTTTTAAATTGATTATATATGGCGTCTTTATTTTCTATTTTCATATTTTCTATTTTTAATTATTGCTACAATTAATGATGATTTAATTGCTTTTCATTTTTTAAAAATGAAACATTTTCCAATTTAATAATGCATTTACAGTAAGAGTTCATTAAATAAATATATTAATTATTATTTAAATATACATATAACTATATCCTATTTTTATCGAAAATCATGTTAAAAATAAGATTTGGATTTTTTTTCCAAAAATTACGTCATTTTTTTAGATCTTCGATCTGAAAAAAGCTCATACATAAGTCAATTATACTTGTTTTCAAATAAATTATTGAACTTATAATGCATCTCTATCTATTGAGCAGAAGAAATCTTCTTTATAGATGTGTCACATTCTTTATGAATAAAAATCTCACAGATATATAATATATATAATATAAATATATAATTTGAATATATTAAAACAAAATAATCCATGTATATAAATTATTTCGTCTTAATCAGTTAGGAAATGGGAGAAAATTATTTTTTGAAAAGTAGTAAAATATTTGTAAGATTTGTTATAAGGATTGAGATTAAAGCGAATGATATTATGTATAATGATACATGTTACGTTGCAAAATGAAGAATTTCTTAGTAACTCTGATTATATACATATGTACATATGATTATATAAATCAATATCATCATTTAACATTTCAATTTATACTTTATTATATCATTTCCATCAATTATAAAGGAATTTATTAATAGATTGCTTTTTAAATTGTATATATCAAATAATATATAGTAAAATTTTATTGTTTTTGCTTTAAATACATTTTTAAAGTATATTTTAATTTAGTTTTTGTCATAAGTTTTTTATTTTATAAGTCTTTTAATATAAAAATATAAATTGTATAGAAATATAATAACTGTAGAAATTATAATACTGGAAATATTTATTGCATTATTTTTTATATAATCTTGTAAATCTATTAATCTTGTATAATCTGATAAAGTTTTAGATCTGATAAAGATTTTACAACATTTCACAATATTAAAATTGAAAAATTGAATATTGTTCATATTGTTTTCTACACTTTTGTGTTATGGTCTATACTCGATAAAATTATGATAAAACGTAACATCATATTTTTTATGTCATTGTCATGTTGTCATTGTTTATTTTGTTGCATGATAACATAATTTAATATTGATATATATATGCATAGTTTCAATTAAGTAATTATAACATACATTCTTATATCTCAAATGTATGAAGGAATATAAATAAAGGAAATTATAACAATTATAATATTGAATGATATTCAAAATTACAAAATACAATGAAATCTCTATATTCGTCAATAATTTATTTCTAAAGAGAAATATTAAATTAAACAAATACATAATCAATTTTTTTTTAATAATAAGAATTTATGAAATATTAACAAAAAAAGGAATAATAGATTTTCAACTTTAAATCGGAACTTAAATAAATAAAATTATAAACAGAAATTTAACTTTTATTAAAAATTTATCATGATAGCAAAAAAGTGAATCATGCAATTTTTGATGATAAATATTAGATAACAAATACAGAGATTCCATTTTATTATATTTATAAAATAATACTAGAGTTAAGTAATATTGATAATACGATAATTGATGAGAATCTATTTTTGATTGGACAGATAATGATGAAAATATAAATATGATTCTAACAAGATTTTTAACTTTAAGGAAAAAACATAAGATCTAATTTTATTTAAACTTGAAAATATAAATATAAATGTATTAAATATATATTGTCTTGTTTCTAATGAAATTTTGCTAACTATATTTTAACTTTTATAATATGTTGTTTTTTCTTTCACAAATTCTCAAAAAAAAAAAAAAAATATTTAATGTAATCTCGAAGAATTATTTTTAAATTTGCACATATAGACCAGTTTTGAAATTTTAATTGAATTCAATATTATTTTTAATTTTTTTTTCGATGATTTGATGAATAATTTTCATTCTTGATTAAAATTCTAAATTTTCGTATAAAAAAATTATGTTAGGATAATTCTTTATTAAAAAATATTCTTGCAATTTTTTCACTTCATTTTCAAAAATGTGAAGTTCTCGTGTTTTGTTTCAATAATAAATTGTTCAATAAATTTTACTGTTATGATTAAAAACTTAGAATTTCTATTTTATTTTAGGTTAGATAAAAATTTTTAAACCATTTGATTTTTGTTGAATAAATAAATAAATTTTCAATAAATTTCTCTGAACTTGTTTACTTTTTATTTAGATATAGTTTCTGTTACATTTAATCATTATTTAGAGATGATATGTGCCTTTCATATTTTAGATCATATAACAGATGACATATCTAGTTATTGTAATTTTTTTCTTATATCTTTTGTTATATTCAGTGATATTAATTAAACAAAGATAACAGTCATTTGAATAGCTGGATGGATTTTTGCATTACTGTACAGTAAATTACATTAAATACAGTAGTAAATTCATTATTTATGGAATTTCTTTTTGTAAAATTTTTCATTTTGTAAAATTTTCTCAATAACTGAAGAATTTTCTCTAATTGCTGCGATTATAACTTCTTGATCTTGCTTAGTTCTTTCGAATTTTTATCTTCGATAATATTGCTTTTCCAAATTCTGTAAACTATATTTTTTGCAAATTTAAAGTTTCATATCTAAATGATATTGAAAATAATCTTCAAAAATGATTTTTTTCAAGAAATCTTATTATATTTTATATAAACAATTATTGGTCGATGCAAATTTTTGAATTATTTAATTAATAAAAAAATTTTAAATATTTCTTAACAAATTTCTTTTACTCTTTTTTTGACAATTTAACAAGATTATAGATTCTGCAAAATAATCAACAATTAAATATGCTGTCAAAAAAAATTAATAGTTTTATAATTAGTAAGACGATAGAAAATATTAAAAGTAATAACAGTAATAAACAGAAATAACATGTATGAAGGAAAGTATATGCAAAAAAGAGAATTTAATTTAATTAATCTTGACAAATTGGAAAAAAAAAATCTCAGCTTGTTGCTATAATGAAAATTGATAAAGCACATTGTATCGACGATACTATTGCGATTGCGCGAAATCGATCTTTGTTCGGTTGTTTCCGTTAAGTTATTGGTTTCATATTCAAATCAGTATATATTATATGTATCAACTGTAAATAAACAATTTTGTCCTTATCATTTATTAAAATAACAATTGATTGAAAGCAATCAGTATCTTTTTCGAACTTTTCATAGTAATTGATTGGTTTAAGTATCCAAAGATAAAATCAGTTTCTTCATAGATATAATGAATATCATATTTTACAAATATATTCAAGTTTCTTCTTGAAATATGCAATGCAATAAATATTTCCAGTTATTTATTTTTCAATCAATAATTGATTTATTTTCTTTAAAAAAATGAAAAACAGAACTTTTAGATCAATTTAATATTTTAAGTAATCGATAAATATATTATAAAGTTTCTCAATTTTTATACTATATATATTTACTTTCATATACATCAATTTTTTAAAACAATAATCATGTTCGATTATGTTTGATTTTGTTATATATAATAGTAATAATTTTGAAAAAAATTTATTGTTTTCTTTTCTTTTTTTTTATTTCATATTGAAGAAAAGTTGAATAAAAAAAAGTGTAAAGATGTTGTTGAATAAATCACATTATAATTTGATCTATAAAGCTGGATATTCGACTTTATCTATATCTATATGTATCTATATGTAATATATCTATATAATAATAATTTATTACATTACTACAATAATTTAATACATATTATAACTTTATGTTTTTCATTTATTCGTCAGTTATGCAAGAATGTTTGAATTATATATAGTAAATATTATGGACTGTGAATTATATTATTATATTATTATATATTTTAATTATATTTATTATATATTTTACTTTATTATTATTAGAATAAAAATATATTTTTATTTCATTTTGTATATAGATATATTATTTTATTTCATTATTTAATATATGATATATTGAAACAAAGTAATTATTCACACTTAAATTCGTTTATTTAAATATAAAAAAGCAAATATAAATTCATATATTATATGAACATTTAAGTAACACAATATTAAATTTTTTTTCTAATTGTTCTAATTATTCTAATAATCTTTAGAATTGTTATCTTCCAAGATTATTATTTATCATTTTAAGTTGTATTTTACATTTAAAAAAAATTGGTATATTTTCCGATACTATATTGATTTTTATAGTATTACACAGTATATTGGTGCTTTTCCAAGCAACGACTTTGAATGTTGCCATTAATAGCAGCAACAAGGCGCTACTTACTATAATGATGTCTAATAATGTAAGTTTTTCTTTTACTATTAATTTAATAATAGATTATATACTTTGCAAAGTGTTTTTAAAAAGAATAAAAGTATCAAAAAGAGGAAAATATATATAATATTTCTTGAATAAAAAATGTTATTAAAATTATAGATTTGTTTTGTTATGCTAGTCAAATTAAAAATATTATAGGATATATAGAAGGATATATATCTATGGTTAAATAATTCTAACATAAATATTAAAGTCACATATAATGCTAAAATTATCGATTTATTATTTATTAGAATAATATTAAGTATTCATAATAATTTTTTTTATGAATATATTTATAGCTATTATTCTAATAAATAGCTATATTTTATATTAGTATGAAAAAATATCATTTTGTTGTAATTTTATTTTTTTTCTATTTTGATAACATATGAATCAAATCGAAAGTTAAAATATTTTTTTATTAAATATATTTATTATTAAATATATAAAATTTAAATAATTATTGTATTAGATCTGTATTGTATTAGATGATACATATAATAGTAAAATACTTTATCCATTTCTGAATATTAGAATATTTCATTAAAATTGAAATATTCATATATAAATTTATAATAATAATAAATTCGTTTTTAAAATCACTCTGCAAATTAAATTTAATAATCAAATATGTGTTAAATTATTAGATATTTAAAACATATATTTTAAATAAAAAAATACATAATGTTACTAACTGTTTTTTTTAATAAAATAAAAGTAAAATAAAAGTAAAAAGTATTTTGAGTTTTATAATTTAATAAAAAATAGTTTTTTAGTTTGATAAAAAATAATAGAAAAAATGTAAAAAATTAGAATCTAATATAACACAAATAATTCATAATAGAAAAGAATTGTAATATTATTTTAATTAATTGAAATCATTATGGTAATAGAAAAAAAAATTAACCATCTCCAAACAAAATTTTCTTTTAATTAATCTTTAATTAATTTAAATTAATATAATTTTAAGAATTATCTTAATCTAAAATTTAAAAAAAATTCTTATTGATATATTATTGTTAATATATAGGAAGTGAAAGCAATAATTAATAATAAATTACAATAATTAATAACAATTTCCATAAATATTTTATTTCATAATTATTTTGCAAAATTTATATTATATAATATGTTTATTATTTAATTATATATCGCTATACAATCGAATAAAGAATAAAAAAATATAATTTAAGAAGAATAGAACTTCATTTATATGTAAAAATAAATAATTATATAATAAAGAGCAACTCAGAAAGAGATCACAAAAAAAAAACAATATAACAATAATGTTCTAAACTTTTTATTTCAGTTCGTAGAATTAAAAGGTTCCGTTTTTAAGAAATTTGACAAGAAGAATCTATTTCAATTATCTTGTGCAGACGTGAGAGAACGTTTTCATTTGATGATGCTTCTTCTTGCTGTAAATCTGCAAACAATGAAAGAATACGCATGGAAAGCGGAACGACTTGCAGTACTATTACCAGATTGCATAATGTTGCTCTTGGCGGAAGTCCTCGTAGATTGGGTAAGTAAATCGTCGTAATTTCTTGTATTTTATGTCTTGTAAGAATTATGTCTAGAAAGAATTGTTCTATGTCAGAAGTGAGTTCAAATCGAATTTATTTTTGATGAAAACGATATGATTTTAATAATATTATTAAAAAACATGTATATAATTAATATATTTATCAATCGTAAAAGTTCCTATTTTTTTTTTTTTTTATAATTTCTGAACGCATAATATCATTCTTTATCTTCTTATTATTTATTATCATTATTTATTTTCTTAATATATTTTGATAATGTTTTATTTATTTTATATTAATATATTCGTATGATATTTTCGAAGATTGATTTCTAGAATAGAAAAAATATTCAAAAATATAACTTAAAAAAAATGTTGAAATTTATTTATTAATTTACGATTAATTGAAGTCAAATTTATTATTTTGTATAATTTTGATATTTATTTTAAATTTAAATCTATTCTCCAAAATTATTCCACGAATATATTAATCTTTATATAATCTTAATATATGTAGGATATTTATAGAAATCGATTGATAAGTTTGACTTAATACAATTTTTGAGATATCTTTCTTTATAAAAATGTTCGTTTTGATTTTTGTTAATGAATGTTAATGAATGTATACTATGGCAAAACAAATATTTTTGATTATTGGTTCAATCTCGATGATTCATTGACAGTATATATCCAACTCATTATGATAAGACAACTCTGATTGGCCAATATTTTTTGTTAATAATTTATTAATAATTTTTACTACAAATTTGTTTTATCATATATATATTTTTTAAATTTGTTTTTATATATTTAATCATTTCAAGAATCATCAGTTAAGCCTTATCGATCGATTTATATTATATAGTATATTCTGGTAAAATAATAATAAAAAGAATTGTCCATGATCAATGATTTTGTTTGATAATTCGTAAATTTTTTAATGTCCATTTTTGAAAGTGAATGATATTCATTTAACCATATTAATTATTTATGCTGCATATTCAATCTGCTTGTTATAAATCTATTATCCCCATCAACATAAGCAATGATTATTTGATAGGAAAAATTTATATTTTTTAATATATCTAAAATACTTCCCAAATTTGAAGATTTCTTTTAATTTTCTAAACATGGAATGAACTAAATTTTTTATGAATCCAAACTAAATATTATTCCATTCTTATTATAAAACTTTTGAGTTTAATTATTTGATATAGGATGCTTCAAAAATACTGTCCGTAAATTAAGATAATTTCAAGCAATATTTTGGTTACCGTGCACGAACAAATTCAAGTAACATATCTCGAAGAAAATGTGTTGAATATAATATTTATTTTATTGATAAAAAAATTATATCGAATTACATCACAATGAATAAACTAATTAATTGTTATTGTGGTAAAATTATGATATAATATAAAACTTTTTTAATGAACAATTAATATTATATATTTAAAATAAAAAAAATAAATCATGCATTACAATCTATTAATTTAAAAAATAATTCACCAGTAAATAGATAAAATCACTCAACAAAAATTCAACTCAAGTTTTGAAATATACCACTAAGTCATTGTTTTCTGAATATTCTTTTCTAATGAATTAATTTTTTACACGTAATACTAAATAAATTATAAATAAAATATTATTGAAATAACACATATAACATGTATCATCGGATCAATATATATATCGTTTATTTAATTGCAGTATTATCAACTTTGATCAGCTGATATTAATAATTCAATAATTCCAGAAAAAAATCTTAAATTATTTCTTTAAAAATATTGATATTTTTGAAAAGATCCGTTTTATTATATTTTTATTATATTATATTATAATAAATATGATTCAATATAATCTTCTTCTGCTATATAAGTTTCTATATGTCTAATAATATTTGTGTGAACACGTTGTAGCATTTCGATATTGATATTCGATGTAGCTTCATAAATTTTCATTATTATTTTTTTTACTGATAGATAATGGTACACCTCATTCTTTTCAAAATATTCAGTATATATGTATGTTCTTATTAGAATTTATTAGAAAAAAAGTTAAGATTCTTACAGCATTTGAATTGTTCCTTCTGACAAATCTTTATTCATCTTCTATTTTTATTTTAATTTTTTTTCAGTTTTTCTTTCAGTTTCTTCATATTTATATACGATGCTTATTATTTTTTATTTCTATTCCACATTTATATGAATTTTAGATTTTTTCTATATCTTGATTCTGCTAAATTATAATTTTTTAATTTCAGAATTTTATAATTTATATTTGTTTGTTTTTTCACCATTTTATCCTTTCTTTCGTTTGTTTTTACGTTCATGAGTTAAAATTTAAATTATTTTTATTTTTAATGTTTTTAATTAGTTTTATTTCATTTGTCAAGTTCTCTGATTGTTATTTTTTTATTTTTATTCTTGTTCCAGTTCTTTTCTTTGTTTTATTTAATTTTATTAATCTCTCTGTGCTAGATAGTTTAATATTTTTTTGAATCTGAGAATATTATTATCTATTCTTATTTTTCTATTTCTTTGACCAATTTAATCATTTTTTCTATTTCTTTTTACTTTTTCATAGTATAAATTACTTTTTCTAAAATGCTCAATTTATAGTTTTTTTCCATCATTCATTTTTAATGTCAGTTAATCATTCCATCCATTTATTTTTGAATCATGATATCTCAATCAATGTCATTAATAAAACGATATTTTCAATTTGTATATTTTTCTTTATAATTGTTTTGATTGTGTCAACTTCTATCTTTTTTTAAATAGAATAGATTTTTATTAGATTATCTGTATTTTCTTATCATAGATTTCTATTGTTTCATTAGTTATTATTTTTTTCAATTCTTTTGTCTAATTTAGACTTCTATTGTTACATTTTTTATTATTTTTAAGTTTTCTTCTATTCTATTCAATTTTTGCAAACCAAAAACTATTAAGAATTTTCCTGTCATTAGTTTCATTTTTGTATTCAATATTCAATATTAGATAAACTTTTCCATTTTTTAGATAAATTGCTACAACATAAAATATTTACAAAATATATTTTGTTTTCAATTGATTTTTTTATAATTCTTTAAATTATTTTTTATTTATAATTCTTAGAAATATCAACTTCTTTTATTTTATCCAAAAATAAAACACAAATAATAAATCCGCTGTTTATATTATTTTCATTATATGAAAATATATTACAAATTTAAAAATTATATTTATTTTTTGGTAAATTGTAATTTCATATTCAATGCTATATGTATTTTTTATAATCTTTGGAAGTATAATAATTTCTATATGATTGGGACGAGAACAGAACTATAGAGGAAATATATGCTGAAAAAAGAAAAAATTGTAAGGAAATATAAAAAAGGAATAAAATATACATATAATAATATTATGTTTAATACCGAAATTTTTATTTTTGTTTTTATGAATGAATTAAAATCCAAATGATATTTTAATATTTGCAAAAAATATCTGGTTGCATTTTCCTCATTTTCTTATCTAACAAAAAATTGTCAATTCTTTTCATATTTTCTTTTATTTTTTTTAAGTTGAAGATATCGAATATTCTTCATTTATTTTTTCAACATCGATTCTTTTTTCATTTCCTGAATGTGAAATTATTTATTATTTCTATAAAAAATTAAGAATCAAATAATTTTCAAAATTTATTATGAGATTATGTTATATACATATAACAAAAGATTATTAAAAATACAGATATTATATACAGATAATATATAATAATATATAATATATAATATATAATAAAAATAACAATATGCAATAATAAGATAATTCATAAAGTTTGTTATTATTAAAAATATGTGATGATAAAAATGACTTTATTATGATTATAATTTAAATTATAATAAACTATAAATTTTTTTCTATATTAATTATTTTTTTTATATGATTTTTATTAGATAATTTTTTATTAGATAATACAAATAATTTTTTTCGACGTTTTCCAATAAAGATTTTGAGAAATTTTAAGGACTTGTATATAGAAAATGATTGTTGGACATTACACAAATATATCTATTTTATTTTAATATTTCTATTGGTTTCTCAATAATGATTTTTTAATCTGCTAAAATGTTAGCGATTTGTGATATATTATATCCACAATTTTTTAAAACTGCTTTTTTATAACTGTTTTAAAATAATCTTTCTAATATTTCCAAATATATTTTTTATACTTGATAATGATTCAAAACATGTTTTTATGAATATTAATTTTTTTATATAATCTATTTTCGTTAGAGAATCCTGTATATATAAACTATAACTATAACTATACTAAACTATAAAGTATAAAGTTTAAATGATAGAATACGAAGAAGAATTTTTATAAATATTTTTTTGAAAATAATATGCTTTACTAACTTAAAAAGAAAATGCAATTCTATTTTTATCCTTTGATTTATAAAATTTTATCCTATGAAATTTATTTATCATAGAATTATTTAAGATTGTCTAAAAATTGTTACAATATGTTATATATTAAAATTTTCAGGAATTCATAAAAAAGTTTTTTTCTAAATATTAAAATCAAAAAATTAGATATTGAGCAGACAATATAGATTATTATTTGTTAAATGAAGTCATATCAGAAATCATATTGGTTTTTTGTTCTTCTATGTCATAGTCAGTCATTTTATTTTATATGCCAATATTGCCATAGATTTCCTTCCATTAATCTATTGTATTATATGAATTCTTGTTTTATTTTATTAATAATCAAAATTCATTCGAAATTCATTATTAAGATGAGAAAATGATTTATATTATTAATTTAATTTTTTATATTACTAATTTCATAAATTAAATAATATATAACAAATATTTAACAAGTATTTAATTCGTTTTTATATTACATTAATATATAGATAATTGTGCTTACGTATAATAGTGCATTTTCATATTCTTATATGAATAAAAAAATTTATTGTTAAAAATTTTATTATTAAAGATTACTATTAA